TACGCGATGCATCCTGGTCTAGATTTGAGGATATCGGCTTTTCTTCTACCCTGGATGAAGACGACGACGACGATGATAGCGCCTTGACCTACAAGCGACAGCCGCCAGCTTTGCGAAGAACACCTGCATCGGGCAATGGACTGGACCGACCGACAACACCATCGTGGGCTGATTTCCTTTCTTCGGGCTTTGTCGATGAGAACCAGGGCACGCGGCAAAACTTGCTTCTGCCTCCCGACAAAGTTCTGCCTCCCCTTGAAACACAAAGACAACACAGTTCGCAGTCCCATCGACCCCGGCTTGAGCACGACCACTCCCTCGAGCCTGGTGAGCTTGCGAGCATTGCAACACTCTCGCTCGACGATTCGTTCTGGTGGGTTTGGATGGCTAGTCTTGCCCCTGAAGAGACTGCGGAGCGCAAGTCAGCCTTTGGTCGATGCGCTGTTATTGAAACAAAGATCAGCACTGGCCGTTGGCTGGTAATGGAGGAAATGGTGGCTGGTGCTGCACCAGAGCCCCAGGAGGGTGCCTACATTGCAGAGAAGAAGGGTTTCTTCAGCTGGACTAAGCGTGGAAAGGGGCTCAATCGACGTAAGTCAACGGCCAACAAATCAGTTGACAACGTCGGCCAGGGCGCCAGCAAAGCTAGCATTGGCCCCGACACCCATGCACGAATCCAAGCCAAGGCCGCTCAGCTACGTGCTCAGGAGCAACAGGAAAAGAAACTGGCCTCTCAACCACTGTACCAGCGCCGCGGTCGAACAGATGCTGAGCTGATGGCGGAAAAGACTAACAGTGTTCTAACCCTTCAGCCCACCATCATCGGCGAGGCTTCGTCGGCATTGAAGTGGGTGTCTAAATACGACAAAGGAACGATCAAAGATTTCTACTTGGCCAACAACAATGCGGGTCGTGGAAACATGATGTCGCCAATTTCTTCCCGGAGCATGATCGACGATGTTTCCAACACTGGTGCACAGAACCAGGAACAGCCCCCTCAGGTGCCCGTTAAGGACGTGGTGTCACCTATCACCTCCCCTACCTTCTCACATGCTTCCAGTGAAATGGTTAGGAAACCAGTGCCTCAGCCGGAGCAGCCCGTTGAAGCCCGAACGGAACAACCTGTACGAAAACCTGTACAGGCACCAGCCCCGGTCCCTGCCCAAGAGCCTGCCCAGGAAGACATCCCGGAGCCTGTACAGCAGTCTGCGCCTGAACCGGCACGGCCTGTCAGCCCTCTTAGCCCTGTACCACCTCCTAAAGACGATGAACCCGCTTATAATGTTTCTCGTGAAGACATGGTCTCGCCCACTCCATCAAGCCCCGAGAACAAGAAGAAGAAACTTCAAAAGGCAGAAAAGGACAACCGTGGTTTCCGCAAGCTCTTCCGTAAGAACAGAAGCTCCAAGGTGCCTGAGGATGCTTCTGCCAATGTTCATGCCTTCCTTCGCCAAAACCAAGCGACACCAGAACCGGCTCAGCAGGCTCCTACACCAGCAGCCACACCAGAACCCGCAGCTCCTATCCAGCGTATTCCCGTCCCACAGCCTGATGAGGCTGATCTTCCTACCCCTACACCCGCCGCTGAGTTTGTGACGCCTATGGAGGAACCTGTCCAGCGTGTTGATACGCCTCAGAAGAACCCTGAAATCGTTGAGCCTATCATGGACCAGTCACAAATTCCCATTGGTGCTAAGGACTCACCCGCTCAGAACTCGGTCCCTCATTTCAACCAGGGCCCTCTTCAAGACCAGCCAGCCTTTGCACCCGACTCTGACGACGAGAACGATGCCACACCTCCCCCTATTCCACGATCACCTCGCCATTCTCCTCAGATTGGAGGTCCATCTCAGAGTGAGGAGAAGCTGAGCCACAGTGCAGGCCCAGGTGTTCAGGACCGATGGGCCCAGATCCGAAAGAACGCTGCCGAGAGAGCTGCTGGACGCCCTGATGAGCAATTGCGGCCAGGCTACAGCCACAGCAACAGGACTGGGGACGGTGACGATGATACTAGCGGAGAAGAGAGTAAGTTAGCACACAATTCTTGAAGCGAAACAGAAAGACTAACCCATATTCCAGCCATTGAATCTCGTGTTGCCCGTATCAAGGCTCGTGTAGCCGAGTTGACGAACAACATGGAGGGCTCAAATGGACCTCAGGCCCCTGGTCCTCGTTACTAGACGACACAAGGTCTATTTTGATCTATAGTATGGCCTCGACTAATTCACCGGCGAACGAACTTGGTCCTGTATGACGCCGTGCGACGACGTGACACATCTACGAGACACATTTCGCAAGCCTTACACATGCCTAATACCAGCCGACGCAGATTTGTTTCTTCGTTTCCTCTTCTGTTGTTTGATATCCCATTTTTCTTCTTTTTCTTTTCCTTTGCTTGATATATGATACCACTAGAGGTTGCAGCAAGAGAAAGGCAGTGCGAATCTTGACAGCTACAGGAGAATAGGAGTGAGATTAAGAAAACTGATTGTATCCTTTCAAGGACCATCCAATCCTGTAATTAATTATATGTTATTCATGGCCAACTTTTCCGACATTCCTCTCTTACCTATATCTGCTTTGGGCAATCATTTTCAACGATCGATGTAAACATAATCTTTTTGATCTTCGTCAGGCATTCAATTGACTTAATCCTGCCATATGAACGTATTCATGTGATCAAGTCTCTATCCATGCGAATATTGAATTTGTTGAGGCGCCACATATGAGTTCTTAAAGTGCGTGTTAATAGATTTGTATATATACGTTAGATCAATTTCGTAGTCATTTTTATTTTCGCTGTTGAGACTCGTTTCGTTATACAACGATCTATGTACATAGATCCCCGAGGCTGATCTTCATGCGAACACTGACTAGAAAAGCTTTACCCATATATCCCTTCATACCTTACATTTTCATGTCCAGTTCCCTTATCCTATCCTCAGTGTTGAACGCCGTCATAATACGTACACGCCAGTATTAAAAACCTAAAACATGTCATGCCATGCCACGCACAGCCTTACTTTTTCTTTCCTTTCTCCTCTTCCTCGGCTAACCTGAGGGCCTCTTCCAAGGCCTCCTCATCATCGTCGAAGTCACCATCGTTTTCCTTGTCTTCTTCGACCTTCTTGACGGCCTCGGGCTTGGACTTTTCAATGGCCTCAGCCTTCTTCTCAGCGACCTTGGCCTCGTTGGCGTCGGACTCTTTGATAGGGGCCTTGGTAGATGAGCCAGGTCCCAGTGCCCAGTCGATCTCTCCATCGGGTCCGTATCGCGATACGAGCCAGTCGTTGGCCTTCTTGAAATGATTGCAGTCGAAGAAACCACGGGATGCGCTGAGGGGACTGGGGTGAACGCTCTGCAGCACGAGATGCTTGACGCGGTCGATCTTTTGCACTCGCTTGCCAGCCGGTGTTCCCCAAGCCATGAACACCACACCCCTCGTCCTCTTCTGAGCAATTATGTCGATGACCTTTTGCGTAAGCCTTTCCCAACCTCTGTTAGAGTGGGAGTTGGCCTCGTGAGCTCGGACTGTGAGGCAAGTGTTCAACATGAGGACGCCACGTTCTGCCCAGGGTGTGAGGAGACCTCCGCGGTTTGGCGGTGGCTCGAAAGTGGGATAGTCCTTCTTCAGAGCAATGTACATGTTCTTGAGAGAGGGTGGCGCGGGAGTCGGAGGGCGAACGGAGAATGCCAGTCCGTGAGCTTGGTTATCGTTATGGTAAGGATCTTGGCCAACGATGACGACTTTGACATTGCTGAAGGGAGTATGACGGGACCTGTGGCAGAAGAATTAGACACGCTCATGGTTGCTAATGCTGAATTGGAAACTCACCATGAGTAGATATCATCCCTAGGAGGAAACACTTTGCGGCCAGAGGTGATCTCCCTGTCGATAAATCGTTTCAGGTCGAGGAATTCTTTGGAAACAAGCTCATCCTTGAGATGTCCCAACCAGCTTTCGTCAAGGGTGTCGATTTCGAGCTGCAAGAGTTCTTTCTGCTCTGGCTTCAGAGAATCCACCCACTTGGTCTTGTCAAACTTGGCGGCTGGTGCAGAAGCAGAGGCAGAGGCAGTCCCAGCGGCAGGCTTGGGGGCTGCAGCAAAAAAGGAAGCAATGTTACCGTCTGCTTTGGACTTTTTCGAGTCATTGCCTGCAGAGGTACCTGCCTTGCGTTTGAGCGCTGACATGGCGAGAGATCGTAGGTGGAGACCGGGAATGGAGGAGGAAGAAAGATGCACGCTGAGCCCTTGGTATGAGGGAGGGACTCTTGCGACAAGAGCTCGTACAGGATGAATTATGGGCAGTTAGCCAGATGTAAATTTTCGAGGTCAATTGGAGCTGAGAGAGATTGTGGAAAAATGTTGAGACAATATCGACTAAGCGTATGGTGGTATAATATGGATAGAAGGGAGGGAGGTACGTGAGAATTTTGGTGTAGAGTGGTGATGCAAGACCAAGGGGTTAGTGAACGTTAGTTCAAAAGCACGACGCGTTAAGTAGAACGCGGTGCAGTGTCACAATCCGTAGTTCCCTTCCCAGATCTGGGCGTGGGTGGTTGGGACCTGGGCTAGCAGGGATAGCTTAAGCACTAGTGAGCCACTCATGTCGTTAATTAGGCAGACGAGCAGGCAGACGAGCAGGCAGTTTGTACTATTCAACAAAAGAAAATAATAAGATGATCAATCATATATGTTATGAACCAAGGATCTCAGACATGGTTACGAGTTATTATGGTGCCGCCTCTTCTCGGGACATGTCTGAGTCTTGGGCTTCATCTGCGAGAAAGATATCAGCTGAAGAGTGGATATCAAGAAAAGGGCTTCCTTCTATGGGTCGTCAAGGGAAAATCCTCAGCTCCAAAGAGGAGTCCTGAAATGCATCGCTATATGTAATCAGGTGTATGGATTTCAACATCTAGCTCTATAGCTCTTACAGTTCCATCTGAGCTTCTGTTCGCTTACATTCCCCTCAACTCTGACACAACTTTCTATTACTCTTATTTCGTACTGTGATCACTATCATAGCTGACCATGGCAATATGAGTATACTCTTCGTCATCACTGGCATTCGAATCAGGTGTCAAGGGTCGTTGCTGATGTGTATCGTGCGAGGATTCAATAGGTCGTGTAGGCAGAGGAGGGTTTTCCTCTTGTCCAGCTTCGACAGGTCGGCGAGGAATGGCAGGTCTGTCTTCATGCTGAGGTTCGGTAGGGCGTCGAGGTAATGGTGGCGTGGATTCTTCGGATTTTTCTCCTGACTTCTTTTCGCTTGCTACAGGGCGACGAGGAAGTTCTGGACCTTCGTCTTTGTCCTTAGCGACAGGACGTCGGGGAAGGGGTGGGTTTTCAGAATCAGACACCTTCTGCTGCTGTTCGTGACCTGGAGGCTGTGAAGGTGAGACGAGTGCCGGGGGGGAAATGTTGAGCCCATGGAGATCTCTCTCGATCTGCTCTTGACTGGGCGACTGAGGCTTCTCTTGTCCCTCCAACGCTGTTCCTTCAAAGTCAATCAACTCTCCCTCAGCATGACGATCCTTCATAAGAATGAGCTCGTCCTTTTCGATTTCCGAAGTAGCCTTGATGCCAACAAAACCGCACTTATTGAGGATTTCACCGATAATGTCGGGATATCGAAGATGTCCAGAGACCGTGTCACTTAGGTCAAGGTTCTGAATACCATCGACCTCTTGGATGTTTTGCAAGCCAGAAACACCCATGGAGAGGCTATGAGCACGATACACAAAACCAAGGATCAAATCATTCTCCGAGTATACGTTGAAAATCTTTCCCGAGACAACGGTGCGAAGGGTACGCCAGTGAGGGGATGCAGAGGGAGCAGGAGCGCCAATAATGACAACAGAATCAATGAGACCAAAGGCTTGTCGCTCGGCAAGAGACTGTAAACAAGCATGGATCGATGTGGCACCTAGAGAATATCCAATCAGTGTTACAGGGCGTTCTCCTTGGACCTTGTTGATAAGAGCATCAGCAAGAAGCTGTCCTGCCTTTCGAGATCGGTTGTGAGCATGGCCAAAGGGGTTGTCAACGTTAGAAGCGACAGCGAGCAGCTGAATAGGCCAAAGTGCAGCAAGAAGCGTGGCAAAAACGGTACGCTTCAGAATCTCCATCTTGACCTTCTTCCAAGCGAAAGACTCGACCATAGTTCGAAGCGCATGTCCAAGAGCGATGAGAGACTTCATTTCGTAACGCAGGGCAAACACCTCAGAATCGTCACCGAGAACACGCCAGGGTTTGGTTACATCATCCTCGTCACGCAGCCAGCCGTTGATTCCAATCGTAACTCTAAGGCGCCGCTCTTGTGCTTGTGCTTGATCCTGTTCAGCGTTGAATATCTCACCCCATACTCCCTTGAGAGGTATAAAGCAGAAGTCTTCAATCTCCTTAGCATATTTGTCCATCATTTCACCCTGGTTCGTGTTAGCTAGCGAGACCAAGAAAGTATATGGTAACATACCGTCATTTTTCCACCGTAGGCGCCGAACAGAGCACCCACAAGGGCACCGTTCATCCAAAAGATACCCAGGAAGCTCGCGACACCTCCTAGACCTACACCACCAAGGATGCTACCAACAGCGCCTGCAACCAATGGAGCTGCCAGCCCTCCGGTGACACCTATAACAGCTGCTCCAGCGACAGATGCAAGGCCTACTTTCCAGAACCTACTAAACTTGTTCTCCTCTCGGCGCTTGGATGCTTCGGCTTCGGCAGACATGACTTCCTGCTGTTTGTCCTGATCCTTGGAAGATTCCAGAAGAGTCTTTGCAATTTCCATCTCTTCCTTAATGATGAAAGTCTGGGGAAGCTCCAGGGATGAAGCAAGGTACAACGCCAGCGCTCGGGTATGGGCAGAATACTTGCCCGTGGACAGAAGGAGCAGCAAGATGCATGAGACGGCCTCCCGCCTATCAGCAGCGGGGATGGTAGTCAATCTTGTCGGGATTGGGTGGTACAAGGACTGGAGAGAAGCAATATCTGCAGATTTGTCGACCTTTACTTCACCGAAATTGATAAGATTTTCACCCTCCTCTGGTGTATCAAGCCTCTTCTTTTCGGCAGCTTCTTGGTGTTTGCGTCTCTCGTCCTGGATCTTGTAGTCATCCTTGACACGAACAATCTCTTCAAGTTTCGGCATGAACTCGTTTTTCCATCCCTTCATATGCTTGATGGCAGCTTTTTGGATGCGCAGTGCCTGTGCTGACGGCTTCTTTGGCTGTTGCTCTTGCTCTTGAGCCCGCTTGTAGAAGTCGTCATTCTTTGGTGTTGACGATCTGCCTTCATCCCTGGGTGTCGAAGGTCCACCTTCATCCCGAGGGGTTGATAGAACAGGACCCAGCTCTTCGTCAGATGCCTGGAGTTGATCTATCATGTAAGAGGTGATCTCATCAACGAGTTTCAGCAGAGCTTGACGCCGTGCGGGGTTGAGAGTGATAACGATTTGGCGAGGGTCCGAGCATGTTGGCGCCATGTTGGCGGTATGTTTGTTACAGACACAATCGCTAATAATATGGCAATTTTGTTGTTGATGGTAGCTACCGGACGTCGTCTTAGTGGGGACAGCTGGTCTTATAGCAGGAATGGATATGTGATGTCAAGAGGGAGCATATCCTCAAGCTAGTCCGTGAATGTGCACAACCACCTAAGAATACCTCAACCTCAACCTAGGCGGACTTTTAGGTAGTGTTGTGTGTTGAAGTAAGGAAGCCCATAGGCTTAAAGCTGAGCCGACCTGAAGTCTTGGTGTAAGGTACAAGTGGATCGTTGGTTGTTGGGGGGTCGATGGTTACAGCGTGTGATGTAATCGCTGGAGCTGACAAGTGCTGAGCCTCTGTCACGTGCAGCACATCGATAAGATTGCAACAATGAGAGTAGCAAGTAAATAAGAAGTGCAGTCTAAATGTTCCAGGCACGAGTTTTAAATGCCATTTGTTGTTAAGGTATCTTAAAACAGTTGTGGCGTCTTGAGCTCCGTTCGATCAATGGAGGCTTGCAGATCCAACGTCATTGACACAGGTGCTAGGAACCAGAAATACAACCTTACTGAATGCGTTATCTTGAGTTGTGATCATTACATATGAACTGAGTTAATGAACGCTCGAGAATCAGGGTCTGTTTTGATAATCGGAGGTATGCGTCGTGCAAGGGGGGACAATAAAAGTTCTTCTATCTCATCTTGAGTAAGATATTCCAAGGCAAAGAAGATGGGGTAACTGTGAGGCGCTATGTGAATGACTCAAGTTTGACAACAAAGTCATACTTGTATATTAAGTGATTTATGGATAAATATCCAATTTGAAACAGCAAAACCATTGACGATACTACACAACGTAATATATGATATAGATACATGATGTATGCCTCCAAACAATTGTAATACTTAACTCCAGGGTAGCATCATGGAAAATTGGCCTAGACCCGATAAGATTATCAGGGGTCCGATAAGCCAGCCCCGCTAAAAAAAATCCCAGTCGCAACTCTCGAAACTGTCCGTGTTCTTCAACACTTCGGCATTTGTTCAGCACTTTCTTTAACTACCTAACTTGGGACTGCGACGACCCCTACCTAATTACTAGAAGGGTCTCTTAATAAAAAAAAGATGGATGCACATGCGCTGCTATCCTCCCAAGGTTGGAGAGGTACTGGCCACTCCCTCCACAAGACCGACGACTCGATCGGACTCGCGAAACCTCTACTCTTGAATCGCAAAGACAATACTAAAGGACTGGGCCAAAAACAACACTTTACCAGTGATCAATGGTGGATGAATGCCTTCGACGAGCAACTTAAAGGCATCGACACTTCTAAAAAGGGAAAGGTGGTACAGACTCTCACCACCGGCAAGCTCAACGTTATCGACAAGAACCTCGGAAGATACTCTGTCTACTCAACCTTTGTCCGAGGCGGGTTCCTCGAGGGAACAATAGACAGACTCAACCTCAATGACTCAAGTGCAGAGTCGTCGGATACGGATTCCAGCGATCAGAAGGACTCGAGTAAATCCGACAAGGACAAGCCTCGAAAAGAGACCAAGGAAGAAAAGAGAGTACGAAAAGAAGAAAAGAAGAAGCGCAAAGAGGAGCGTGCAGCAAAGAGAGCCGCGAAGGCTGCGCGCCGAGAGCTGAAGAAGTCAAAGAAATCTTCCAAGTCATCCAAGTCGTCCAAGTCATCAGCCGAATCAAGCGACGCAGACGAGGAGAAGCGAAGGCGACGGGCAAAGAAAGAAGAAAAGAGAAGGCAAAGAGCAAAAGAGGCTGGAAAATAGAGGATCACAAAGAAAAAACGGGGTTTAATGGCATATACAGCGAGAACATGTTCATGGAGTTGAGGTTAAATGGGATTTTTTTTGGATGATACCCCATAGATGTATATTTTACGTCTGTTTCGGAATCTTTCCTGGCTTGTTTGAAAGAAGCCATGGTCTTCGATCCCAGAAATCGTCCTTGATAATGTCCACGTGCTCCACAACCACGCGAGCCTTTGCGCGACTCTTCTTGTCCTTGTCTTTTTGTGTCTTGGATTGTTGAGTTGGCTCTGCCTGGGAGTCGATGGTCTGCGTGATATTGTGAGAGCTTGGGTCAACGAGTTCGTACTGTCTGAATTAGTGGGCGTTTTTGGCACGAGAATGGGAATACATACATCGCGGAAGATGACGCTACCCTTCTTGTAAATCTCCGGCTCGTTGTTGTAGTTGATGGAGCATTCCGAGAAGAGAATTTCGTTCTTGTCTGCTGCGTATGTTCCCTGTAATGTGTCAGAATGTTGGGTGTCTAGAAACACTTGCGACTTACAGCTAGCCTCTTTTCAGCCTCCTTGTTGTCAAGGCCCTTGACCTGAATCAATGACCAGAAACTGGTGTTGTAAAGATTGTTGATGTGACCTTGCTTGTTAGCACTGAAACCCATACTGGCATACTTTGGAATACTCACAATCAACTTGCCGCCAACTCATGTAATCGCGGAGATTTTGCACGCTTGGGTAACACACTGCTCTCCCGTCAAAGGATGGCAGCGGAGGCGACAAGGGGGTATCCGGGAAGTGAATGGACCAAGAATATACGTAGTTGGCAGTGAAGGTAGATACAACAGTGCTGACAAGTTTACTGAGACACGGTAAGTCGAGGGTTGAGTCGAGGGGAGAATAAATATGTACCTGGCTCTTCGCTCAAACAAAGTGCATGCTTTGTGAAAGACGAAACTAGTGGGCTTGTTATTACGAGACATATTTTGCATATCCAGTCCAACGAACCTGTACTCGTCACTGACGCCATACGCGATAGTGATATCTGGAAGTTCAGTCACAACTGCTTTGGCAGCAGTGTTCATGAGATCCAAGGCTCGACGATCATTTGGCTTCTCAAAAGCATACTTTGCACACATTCTCAACAGAGTCAGTCTGATTCCCACTGTTCAACGGGGTGTTTACTTGGTGAAGCCCCTGCCATCGATGCGAACCACAATCCATGTGTTGGGCATTAAAGCATCTGTCGTCTCGAAATTACGGACATACTCGAATCTTGCAAATGATTAGATACATGTAACAAGCCGATGCGTGGCTCCCAAAACTCACTTGGAGTTCGCCATCTTTGTGATCTAATCAGTGCGAAGCCAACAGTGAAATTGATGTTGGCGCAGAACCTGCACTTTGCTGGTGACTGATATTTAGGTATGAATCAGAGGGGCTTTGTGAGAAATGTTAGTACAACTTGAGCGTCCGTAGTGGAGAGAGACTCGGTACCACAGAGGGGTGCGATGGTCTTATTTGCATACATCAGCCACATTTGTTGCTTGCACACCTGGAGTGATGGAAGGTGGGGCTATCGCAGCCTTGCAGATCAATCAACATCCACCCAAGAAGCATGACTGAAGCCAAATTCTAGTCCTACACAAACACTTATTTAATTACGGCATTTTCATTTATGATAGTGTTTTAATGCTATCTTTAATAGTTGCGCCAAAATGAATTTGTTACTCTCAGACGATTATCTCCTCCAGGATTACCCCGAGAACATCACGAATACCATCCGGTCGGGACATGCGACAACATTGCGCTTCAACCGCCAGGGAGATTACCTAGCATCCGGCCGAGTCGATGGAACAGTTGTGGTGTGGGATCTCGATACTATGGGAGTAGCCATAAAACTGAGAGGTCACAATAAGAGCATCACATTTCTGAGCTGGTCGCGATGTGGACAGTATCTTCTCACAACCTGCCAAGGGTGGAAAGCTATCCTATGGGACCTCCAGGATGGCAAACGCCTGCGCGAAGTTCGCTTTCGCGCGCCCGTATACATGGCTGAGCTCCATCCGTGGAACCAGTAAGACAAATGCGACCAGTCTAGACAGCTCAGCTAACATGCGCCAGCCTTCAATTCGTCGCAGCACTCTTTGAAGAGCAGCCCGTCCTCGTCGACATTACCGACCCCGTCGATGTAAAACACATCTTACCATCCGCACCGAAGCGACCGAATACCGATGACTCTGCGTTACGCGAGAAACAAGCAAAGGAAGATGCCAAACAGATGACAACCTGTGCGGTCTGGAGCACAACTGGAGATCACATCCTTGCTGGCACGAACAAAGGAAAACTAAATATTGTCGACGCAAAAACCTACGAAATTATATACTCTGACAAGATATGCTCGGGAGTCATCACGACCATGAGAATGACGGTGTCGGGCCGCGAGCTGCTTGTTAATTCACAAGACAGAATTATTCGCACACTCCGCGTGCCTAACTTGCTAGCGGAAAACCTCGACCTCGACACGTTACAAGTACCGTTGGAGCACAAATTTCAGGACGTCGTCAACAGATTGTCATGGAATCATGTCACATTTAGTGCTACTGGCGAATACGTAGCAGCCTCGACGTACAACAACCACGAGCTGTACGTTTGGGAGCGTAACCACGGTAGTCTCGTATGCATGCTTAAGGACCCAAAAGAAGAGCAAGGAGTGATAGAGTGGCACCCAACCCGTGCGCTCTTGGCCGCTTGTGGTTTGGAAACCGGTCGCATATACATATGGTCCGTGGTGAGTCCACAAAAATGGTCGGCTTTGGCACCAGATTTTGCTGAAGTGGAAGAAAATGTCGAGTACATCGAGCGGGAGGACGAGTTTGATATTTACGCGCAAGAAGAAATCCACAGACGGCGATTGGATGCGGAGGACGAAGAAGTGGATGTCTTGACGGTCGATCCATCCAAAACTCTGGACGAAGACGAAAGTTTCCGGATGCCGATTCTGTTTAATCTCGGCGAGAGCGATAGTGAGGATGAATTCATCGCTGTATCCACCGGCACCATGAGACGTAGGAGTCCTGGGGAGGGTCAAAGTGATTTGGAGGAGAAACCACCCGTCAAGAAAAGCACGGCCAGCAGAAGAGGGCGGAAGCGTTAGTCGTCTGTACTTACTAACAGAGAACAAAGTGGCCTTTGTCGCAATGCGTTGCTAGGAGCTAGAGCTGCACGGGATAGGGATAGCTCCTAACAGAGCAATTGACAATTTCCATCCCAACAAAGAGATAAAACAAAACGAGTGGTGGCGTGGTAGTAACAGTGTTTAATGCATTTTGAAACTCCCTTATTAATAGAAAATAGTGCTCGGGCCTGGCGTGGAACAATTGGAGAGGAATGCCTTAATGGAGAAGAACTTATCATGAGACTTTACTGATGTAGTACCTGCGATTAAGTTTATGATACTTTCTTCAAGGACATGGTCTCTAGTAGCGATCTCTGACAATGAAATAAAGCTTGGCAGCTAAACATCAACTTCATAGATTGATCTATATTTTATTTCTTATCACAGCGGGAGTTTCTTTTGCCCCTTACAGAGCATGAACAATTGGAGGTGTTTCGCCTGAGTCACTGCCGGATCTCTAACGTCAGAGGGCGTGATTGGATCCATTATTCATAGGGGCAAAAGTATAGGTACTTGATAGCCTCATTAAAAAACGCGACTGTGCACCGGAGCTCTGTGCAAAAGTGCTTTAGTCAGCACGTGAGAACGTGCAGTGAAAGTCCCTGTACAAGCTTTTGAGCAAGCCTCAGGCAACGCATAAAGCTCCAGACAGTCCCAAAAGGGCTTAGCGCGTAACCTGCTGCCAGCCGCTCTCAAGTCCAGATTCTTTCAGGCTTCCCCCGACTTCTCGCTTTAACCACGACAAACTTTGCCTACAACACAAAGTCATCACATCGCGCGTCGGGCATCGCGCGCAACTTATTGAAACAGCTCATCGACCGACATCGACCGATTGACGACATCGCCGACCGCGATTTTTCGAGTTTCTGCGACTTACGAGGTGGCGGCGACGGGGGAGACCAGCCTGAGGTTCACCTAGGCCCGGTTGGCCAGGACAGGCGTTGCGGTTCATCGCTATCCAGCAATCGCATTTGAGTGCATATATCATCGAAATTTTCAGCCTTGCGCTTTTAACAACTTACTTAATCGCAAACTTTTGCACTTTTCTTCAGCCTTTTCGCGTTTATTTACGTTCTGGCGCGCTTCCACACCTCTACTCTCGCTTCTCGCTCCTTTCTACTCCACGTCAGAACAATCACCAATCGCCACCATGGCCAACCTCTACTTCACCCACTCGAGCGCTCCGCTCAAGACAGTGGAAGAGATTCAATTCGGTTTGATGTCCCCTGAGGAGATCAAGAATATGAGTGTCTGCCACATCGTTTACCCCGAGACAATGGACGAGAACAAGACCAAGCCTCGTGATGGTGGTCTCAACGACCTGCTTCTAGGCTCAATCGATAGATCATTCCGATGCAAGACCTGCACACAAGCCATGGGCGAGTGTCCCGGTCACTTTGGTCACATCGAGCTGGCCAAGCCTGTCTACCATCCTGGATTTATCAAGAAAGTCAAGAAGATTCTGGAGATTGTTTGCCACAACTGTAGCAAAGTGCTAGCCGATACTGTTCGTCTCACTACTGTATGACGCTATTTGACCTTTGTACGCTAACCTCCTACTCAGAGAGATCCCGAGTTCGTTGCAGCCATCAACACTCGAGATCCTAAAGTCCGATTCCATCGAGTTTGGGAAACTTGCAAGAAGAAGAAGCGATGTGAAAACGACGAGCCGAAACAAAAAGACGACGAATTCGCCGCGACGCTCAAGACTGGTCCCGTGGAAGGCCACGGTGGCTGTGGTAACGTTCAGCCCGCTGTTCGGCAAGGTGCTCTGCAACTCAAGGCCGCTTTCGAAATTACAGTTGACGAAGATGGCCACAAGACGAAGAAGAAGGAGACAACACCTATCACACCCGAGACAGCTCACAGCATCTTGAAAAGGATTACTGAGGACGATCTAGTCAACATGGGCCTCAACTCGGATTACGCTCGTCCTGAATGGATGGTTCTCACCGTCCTACCCGTACCACCACCTCCTGTTCGTCCCAGTATTTCTATGGACGGCACTGGAACTGGTATGCGCAACGAAGATGATTTGACCTACAAGCTGGGTGATATCATTCGCGCCAACGGAAACGTGAAGCAGGCTATCCGCGAGGGATCGCCCCAGCACATTGCTCGAGATTTTGAGGAGCTACTGCAATACCACGTTGCCACATATATGGATAACGATATTGCTGGCCAACCTCGTGCTCTGCAAAAGAGCGGTCGACCCGTCAAGGCTATTCGAGCCCGTCTAAAGGGTAAGGAAGGCCGTCTCCGAGGTAACTTGATGGGTAAGCGTGTCGATTTTTCTGCACGTACTGTCATTACTGGTGATGCCAACCTTTCTCTCCACGAGGTCGGTGTGCCTCGCAGCATTGCCAGGACTCTCACTTATCCCGAGACGGTCACTCCTTACAACATTGAGAAGCTGCACCAACTGGTCGAGAACGGACCCAACGAACACCCCGGTGCCCAGTACGTTGTTCGACCGGATGGTTCTCGAATTGACTTACGACACCACCGACGTGCTGGAGCTATCTCACTGGAGTATGGATGGAAGGTAGAGCGTCATCTGATGACTGGTGATTACATCATCTTCAACCGTCAACCGTCTTTGCACAAGGAGTCTATGATGGGTCATCGTGTCCGTGTTATGCCTTACTCCACATTCCGTCTCAACCTGTCTGTCACTTCCCCCTACAACGCCGATTTCGATGGTGACGAGATGAACCTTCACGTCCCGCAGAGTGAAGAGACACGTGCCGAAGTCAAGGAGCTTTGTCTAGTCCCTCTCAACATCGTGTCTCCTCAGAAGAACGGTCCCCTTATGGGTATCGTTCAGGACTCTCTCGCTGGAGCATACAAGCTGTGTCGTCGAGATGTTTTCCTCACCAAGGAGCAGATCATGAACTGTATGCTCTGGGTCCCTAATTGGGATGGTGTTATTCCTCAGCCAGCTATTTACAAGCCCCGACCTCGCTGGACTGGTAAGCAGCTCATCAGTATGGTTATCCCCAAGGAGGTTAGCCTTTTCAATGGTACCGACTCTGGCGAAAGTGCCCCTCTTAAGGACGAGGGCCTTTTGATTCAGGCTGGTCAATTGATGTATGGTCTTCTTACCAAGAAGAGTGTTGGTGCTTCTGCTGGCGGTATTGTGCATATCAGCTACAATGAATTGGGACCTGAGGGTGCCATGGCTTTCCTGAACGGAGTGCAGCAAGTTGTCACTTACTGGCTTCTGCAAAACGGTCACAGTATCGGTATCGGTGACACGATTCCCGATGCGGCGACAATTGCCAAGGTTCAGGTGCACATCGACGAGGAGAAGGCCGAGGTCGCCCGCTTGACGGCGATGGCTACTGCCAACGAGCTTGAGGCTCTGCCAGGTATGAACGTCCGAGCGACTTTCGAAAACAAGGTCTCTATGGCTCTCAACCAGGCCCGTGACAAGGCTGGTACCACAACACAGAAGAGTTTGAAGGATTCCAACAACGCCGTCACAATGGCCTCTTCAGGTTCCAAGGGTTCGTCTATCAACATTTCACAGATGACTGCGCTTGTCGGTCAGCAAATTGTCGAAGGAAAGCGCATTCCTTTCGGTTTCAAGTACCGTACTCTGCCTCACTTCACCAAGGATGATTACTCTCCCGAAGCTCGTGGTTTCGTCGAGAACTCTTACCTTCGTGGCCTGACCCCTAGCGAGTTTTTCTTCCACGCCATGGCTGGTCGAGAAGGTCTTATTGATACTGCGGTCAAGACTGCTGAAACTGGTTACATTCAGCGACGATTGGTCAAGGCTCTTGAGGACCTTTCTGCACGCTACGATGGTACTGTTCGCAACTCTCTAGGCGACATTGTTCAATTCCTTTACGGCGAGGACGGTCTTGATGCTATGATCATCGAGAAGCAGAAGCTGGGAATTCTGAACATGTCAAATACTGCTTTCGAGAAGAAGTACAGGTTGGATCTTGCCAACCCCCCCGATTGGTTCAAGCATGATTACGAATTTGGCAACGAGTTGACTGGTGACAGGCCTTCCATGGCCCTCCTTGATGAGGAATGGGAGAGACTGGTGCATGATCGCACCCGGATCCGAGACATCAACAGGTCGAAGGGCAATGAGGAAATGATGCAGCTACCATTGAACATTACTCGCATCATCGAGTCAGCGAAGCGTGTTTTCAATGTGAAGGCCAACGACCGAAGCAACTTGCGACCTTCCGATGTTATCCCAGCAGTGCAGAACATGTTGGAAAACATGAAGATTGTCCGTGGAACCGACCCAATCTCGTTGGAGGCTGACGCGAACGCCTCCATTCTCTTCAAGGGACTGTTGCGTTCTCGACTTGCTTTCAAGGAAGTCGTCAAGGAGCACCGACTGAACAGATTGGCTTTCGACCATATTCTGGGTGAACTGCAGAACAGATGGGATCGTGCTTTTGTTAACCCTGGCGAAATGGTTGGTGTTTTGGCTGCCCAGTCCATTGGTGAGCCTGCCACTCAGATGACACTGAACACTTTCCATTTCGCTGGTGTGTCTTCTAAGAACGTCACCCTGGGTGTGCCTCGTCTCAAGGAAATTCTCAACTTGGCCAAGAACATTAAGACTCCCAGTATGGCGGTGTACCTCAACACGCCTCTTGCGAAGCAGGAACAAGCCAAAAAGCTGCGAAGTATGGTCGAATACACCAACCTCCGCTCTGTTACTTCAGTCACTGAGATCTACTATGATCCCAACATTACTGAGACAAATATTCCTGAGGATTTGGATATGGTCGAGTCTTATTACATGATTCCCGATGAAAGCGTTGATCCCACTGCAAACCAGTCGCGATGGCTTCTACGTATTACTCTCGACCGACAGAAGCTCCTTGACAAGGAGATCAAGATTGACGATGTTGCTCAACGCATCAAAGAGGAGTACCCCACTGATCTGGCGGTCATCTTCAGTGACAACAACGCTGATGAGCAAGTTATCCGTATCCGAACCATTCATACTGGCGATAAGGATGATGATGGCGACGGTGGCCGAATGGAAGACGACGTCATGCTAAAGCGCTTGGAAGCCCATCTTTTGGACACGCTTACTCTCCGTGGTGTCCCTGGTATTGAGCGTGCTTTCTTGACAAAGGGAACCAGACTTACCGAAGACAAAGACGGAGCGTTGCTCGCCATCAAGGACGACCCTCGTTGCACACAATGGTACTTGGATACCAGTGGTACTGCTCTCCGCGAAGTGTTGGCTGTGGATGGTGTTGATGCGTCTCGAACATATACCAACGATCTTTATCAGATTGTAGAGGTGTTTGGTATCGAAGCTGCTCGTTCGGCTCTGGCAAAGGAGTTGACCAACGTGTTGGCCTTTGATGGTTCTTACGTCAACCATCGACATATCGCTCTTCTTGTGGACGTGATGACGTACAGAGGTATCATCTCTGCCGTCACCCGTCACGGAATCAACCGAGCTGATACTGGTGCTCTGATGCGTTGTTCGTTCGAGGAAACGGTGGAAATCCTGCTTGAAGCTGCGGCGACAGGTGAATTGGATGACTGCCGCGGTATCTCTGAAAACGTCATGCTTGGACAGATGGCCCCAATGGGCACTGGTAACTTTGACGTTCTCTTGGATCCCAAGATGCTCGAGACTGTTATCTCGGACAACTCTCGCATGGGCTTGATGGCAGGCATGCCTACGAAGAGCGGAGATATTGAGGGAGCTGCTACTCCTTACGATACTGGTTCTCCTATGGCGGATTCAGGTTACCTGAGCATGAGCTCTCCTGCTGCCGGAAACTTCTCTCCTATCCAGGGAGCCGGATCGGACACGCCTGCTGGCTTCGATACCGTATATGGTGGCGGTAGCGTTGGCTTTGGCGGTACCGCTCCTATGAGCCCGTACAACCGTGGAGCTGCCAGTCCCTTCAGTAGCACTTCGCCGACGTCACCATTCAGTTACTCACCGACGTCGCCTAACATGGGATACTCGCCCACTTCACCTCTCATCGATGGTGGTGGCATAGGTCGATATGGACCGACATCACCGTCTTTCAGCCCGTCTTCGCCATCATTCTCGCCCACTTCGCCCATGTTGCGGCCTACCAGCCCAGCCAGCCCCAGCTACAGCCCGACGTCGCCAAGCTACTCTCCTACTTCGCCGTCGTCTCCTCGCCACTACTCGCCTACATCCCCGGCGCAGTTCAACTCTCCCACTTCTCCCAGCTACTCGCCAGCCAGCCCCAACTACAGCCCGACGTCGCCCAACGTGCATGGTGCTGGCCCAACCTCTCCATCTTACTCCCCGGCATCTCCCTCTTGGTCCCCGACATCTCCTGAAGCTTACTCGCCAACGAGTCCAACCTTCCAGAGGAGTCCTACGACCCAGCAGTCGCCTACCAGCCCAAGCTACTCCCCTACATCGCCTGCTTTCTCTCCCCGCACGCCGGGCCCGGGAACGTCTGGAAACCAATAGTAAGTTTTGTCTACTTTATTGCAGCATGTGCAGCAAACTAACAATGCAACAACAGCTCTCCTAACTCGCCCTCAAACGATTAATATTTGTGATTGAATAATGCATACGTGGCACAGGTTGTCATTTCAGTTTTCATGGTTCTTGGTGGGGGTTTTATTTTTTTAAAGCATGATAGATCCGCAAAAGAAGTTGGTAGGATTATACAATAAACGAGAAAATACAAAATCACATCAAATTGGAGGGAAGAGATGAAGTGATTCGTCTGCTTCTAAAGGGGCTAACCAAGAAAGTGGCCACCTGACCTGATGAAGAAGAAAAAAGAAATTGAGAACCAGGGCCTTTGATTTAATAGCTGCTTGATTTTGATGTACACTAGCGATGGGGTCGGTGAGGAATGGGGAAAGGCAAGCTACAATGAGATATAGGATGACGATCCAGATTGGAACCAAGACTTGACCATATTACAGCTGCTATATCAAGTAGGAAATTGAATTGGCTTATTTGCCCTGACATTTTCACATTTGCTGGAGCCTGTGGCTTGGGGAGATGGCGTCAGTATGTCTCTTGTTGGTGAAGCCTGGTCACGATTTATTGCAAAAATGTAAAATTATATATAGCATACATAATACATGAGTTATTTTGAAAGACAGATGTTATGTTATTTGAAGTATAATGGTGGATATTTTGTGCAGTATTAAATGTGTGACTGGTGGCATCAACACCACAATACTAGGAGTTTATGCGGTAGAGTCGGCAGACAGAAAGACGTCGAACCCACCAGAAAGATAAGCTGGTCTATTACAGCATAGTCTAATAGTAAGTACTCAATGGATTGTGGTAATGATGAGAGACAAGCGCTCCACTCAGAAAGAAGCCTGCATGTTCGGTTACTTAGGTGCGTGGGCTGAAGTCCGTCTGCTTGCAGTGGTGGAGAGACAGTTGCAGCAATCACATTCAGAGAGAAGCTGTATGAGTAGAGGCTTGCGTGTGTATATTTGAATGAAAGACATACGTAAGGATGGGGAAGAAGGGAAAAGGAGAAGCATGGCATCCATCCATGACGGGAGTTCCCCACGATCTGCAAAGCTTTGACAGTCTGAACCAGGCTCTCAGCTCTTCTCCTTATCTATGTGGTTACTGGTGGAGGCGATACTGTAACAATGTATGAGTGTGTGTACCATGATGGTCAATTTGGTGGAGTGACATTGAGACCTAACTCGGACAAAGCCCGTGTCAAGTCAAGATCTCTGCTAGATTGACTGCTGTCATTTATCCATGCACAAAAATAAAAATCAGGGTAAATTCTGTAAGACCGGTCCGTTCATAGCTGAGTGGGAGAATAAGAGAAACGCCCCCCCACGCACTGCAGTCTCAGTTGTACCAGAAAGATCCAAGTCTGTTGCTAGCGAGCGAGTAAGAAGGAGGTTGTATAAAACACGGCATAACTAGGTTCCCAGATGCGACGCGGCAATCGTTAATAAAAAAGAAAAAGGAAGGACAAAAAAAGTGTGGCTGGCCATAATATGTTCTGATTTTGTCAAGCATCCTTTTGGGAATCAACCAATCATTGTCTAAATAGAACCGGATGGACAACCGGTGTTGACCACATCAAGAATAGAACAGTCAATGTCCCTACGGTATCAATATTCCCGGGGGTTGTTTTCGTTTCTGTTTCTGATAGTCTTAGACGATCAAACAAAAAGTGGCAAAAAATAGCATATAATCACAAGGCATGATTTTCAGCTTTGTCTCAACCAAGATTCGTAACCAAGACGCGACAAGGGTATGACAGCAACTATAGATAAGGTGGTACATGCTTATTATTAAGTGTAGATCAGAGAGAAGACGTGATAGACAGAGGGACGGAGAGGGTGGTAGAAGCGGGATAGGCGGGACCTACCTGTGTTAGTTTCGCATTAATGTGACGATACTGTATGGATAGAAGCTATGTAGGTAGATTCGGTGGTACGGAAGGCCGGGGTACCCCAGGGGGTGGGTGGTTGACTTTGTGGGTATGAACTATCAAGAAGCATGTGTCTCTATAAGCGACCAAAGATATGAGAGAGACGAGAGGAAGAGAGATGAGACGCCAGTTTTCAAGGGGATGGCGAAAGCATAAAGAGGACGCCTTCCCTCTTGGTTTTGTCTTCTGTCTCTATCTATCAACACTTTCAACACAACATCATCAACAACTATCACCTTATCCATATCAACTCATCTTACAACAACTCTCGACTCAACTCAACTCAACTCAACTCTACCAAAATGTCTGACCTTCCTCCTCAAAACTTCCTCCCTCTCACTCCTCCTCCCAAGTCATCCTTCCTCTCACTCGCACCGGCTACATCTCCTTCATACCCTCAGAAGCCCGCCGCCCGCTCCCACACTCGTCCTTCTACCGAGCGACGATCATCAGTCGAGTCCAACACCAGCTCAAACTCCAACTCCAACAACAGCTACCGCATTCTCAAGCTTGGACCTGTCCACTGGGGCGAGCACGCCGACGACCACAAGCATGACTTCCATGATGTCGTTCTTCACTAAATTATGTGAATGATTGAATGAATGAATATGTTTTTTGTTTATGGGGCAAAGCGCAGCGATCATCATCTTTCTACTCAGGATTCAAATTGCAATTTTTCTTAACAACAAAACGTCACGGAAAACAAAGGATACCATTTAAACGGGAAAAGCAAAAAATGTGCTACCAAGAAAAGGACAAAGTGAAAATTAACAGCATCAACCACCCCAAAAAAAATCTACAAGGGGGGTCGGTTGAGTAAGTGAGCAAGCAAGCAGGGCTTCAGCTATCGCTCGGTTGAAAGGAACAGGAAGGGAAAAAAAAAAAGAGACTAGGATTAGGAATAAGCCAACTTTCCTGGCAATTTCTCAGTAAATTCAATACTACTATCTCTCTCCTGCCTATTTGTCTTGACTATACTTTTGATCAGTAAAGAATAATTACTTTGTCCTGGCTGTCTATTTGGGCACGGGCTGTAGGCTTGGCTTGGCTGTCTTAGTCTACAGTCGGTACATGGAAGCACATCTTGATAGCGGCAAACCCATCAATTCCAGTCCTTTCCGGATAAAGTAAAGAGTGATGATAGAATATGCAACTGAAGCAATGATGAAGATCAATTGCTAGTGTCTCTTCCCACTCGGTACTGATAACTTGCCGTTGCTGTGCTGCGCTGTACAAAACAGCGGTATAGACTACTCTGAGCAAGGCTGGCCTATCACCTGACGTATTGGCGACACGGGCACTACCCATCTATTCTCCTCGGTGTTATTATTTGGTGTAAAGATAGCAAGGCAATCGTTTCTGTGTACAATTCATAATGGTGTTGGTTTCACCCTGCTCTCACTTGCAGTCTTTCCATGTACGCTACACACCCACAAGCTTGCAATCCTCTAGCATCAACCGGCATCTCATAAATTCTAGACCGATCATGTGCCCAGTCCAATGCGAGATAGTCCAGATAGCGTCGCATTACATAGAAACAAAAAAAAACGAGCCATGAATAGCCGGAGCAGGCCGACTATATCTTCGGCCCAAAACATCATTTGTTAGACATACGACCCAATCAAATAACTGGTATTTCTGCTAGGTAGTCTTCGTGTCGGGATCAGCTTCTGGATCAGATTTCTACTTGGGTAACACTTTCGGGAGGTGACCGAGAACGTGCATGACGACAATGTCGACATGGGTTTTTCTTTTTCCATGTTTTTGTTGTTGGTTAATTTCTCTGCCTTGTCTCATGTCTAATTGGAATAGACCTTGTCCTCCTGCGAAACCCAGGAACAAAGTCAAGAGTAAAGTAGAGTGCGCAGCATAAGCCGGTCATGGGGGCGGAAGCATGGCCCGACTTTGAGTTAGCTTGTGTTATAGTTATACCACAATGTCACAGAATAGACAAGATGTGCGTCTTTCTTCTTTCATAGTGATGATACAGTGGGAAAGTATCTTGAATACAATAGGCAATCAATGAACCAACCATTGCTCAGCTTCTCGCACAAACACCATCTCTGAGTTCATAGTCCAATCCTTGAAACTCTAGATTCCAGACTAATTGCGGGGAAAAGGAATGCCACCTCCCAGCTTCACACCTAAAAAGAAAAGAAAGAAACAAAGTCTATTCCAAAAAAAATCATGAGACACCAAAATACGTCATTTCTCATTTAAAGCTCGAGCTCGAGCTCTCTGTTGTACGCGTGACCTTGTCTGTCTCCCGTCTATGCGGCGATCGCTCGGGCTTCCGAATCGCCAGACCAAACAAGTGTCGGGGATATCAAGGCTTTGGAAGGGCAAGAATAGCCTTGTTTCAGTGGGTAGTGAATGAATCCTTCTGTGTAGCCCGTTTGCGATTGAGACACAGCAACCATAAAATAAGATTCGAGTCGTAGCGAGATGACGGCCAACACCGAGATGGTCGGTTTGACAGCATTGCCAAGACGGCACACCAGATGCTCATCTCACTCTGATCTACCAATGCTGATCTCTCAGTTTGAACATCTCCCATCTTGCGTGCCAGACCTTGAGAGAGACCTTGATCGCAAAGAGCACTGTAAAGTACTGTCAGACTGTTGCACACACTCTTTGCTTGCAGAAAGCCACTGCACATCTCGGCTTAGGTGCCGCCTCTCTCCATCCGTAACGAGCGACCGCCACGTAGCCGTACAAACACACCCTCAGCTGGTATCAGATGTGCCACAAAATCAAGAGATCAGCTTGATCATCTTCTGACGATGATATGATCTGGTCTGGTATTGGTTGGCATTCACCACTTCTTGTCCGTACCAATGACAGTAATTTCCTTCCTCTCCGGATCAACCAGCCGGATTATTTCTCGCCACTCAATCTCGACACGCCGTTCTCGTTCCCTTCCCGGACCCGGATCTCCACTTTCCGCTCCGCAGCCTCCGGCGTGGAACCGGCACCACGTCTTTGAATGCTGCGCGTCTACCCACAATTGCGCTGATACAAGGTAGGGGTCTGCCAGTACTCGTAGTAGACCTTCCAGTGGCGGCCGAGAGAACATGTGCATGTCTTTCTCGTGCTTCGCAGGGTGGAAGCACACCGTCG